TCAGGAAGATGCAGAGAGCGATGAGGTTGCCCCTAGCCACCTCCTCTCCAAACCAGACAAGCCCAAAGCCCTCACTGACTCCTCGTAGGCCATGCCTTCCAGCCCTTCCACCAGCCTTGTTGCCCTTCTTCTAAGGCAGATGCTCTCTATTACATCTTAAACACCAACATGAAATCGATTTTAATCAATTATTCAGCTTTCACATGGCTGCCTACTGATTCAAGAAAATGGACAGTGAGAAGTGGAAGTGAATATTCTTGCAAACCTGAACCAACGCTAGACATACACAGGAACTTTCTATAGGCAAGGTATTAGGTACACAGCTCCAGTGCACTGTATCTCATTTCATTCCTTTGTACAGTAATATTCCGTGAGCAGAGGACACACAATCAGAACACAGGTCGGTTTTAGCTAGTCATCTTCGAAGATTAGAATACAAGGAACAAAGTATACAATGTTATTTTAGACAAAAAAAATTTCCTGAAAAAAAACCCAAGAACTCTCAAATCCCACATAAAGTAGGAGGAAGAGAAAGGAAAATCAGTTTTAATTACCAGAGCCACACCTTAAGGCGACAACTGTAGCTAAGAACACATCCAGTACTCCCACAGAAGATGGTAACAGATTACTTTGAAGGATTTAGACACAGCAAACCTCTCAAAATGCTGTTATATTGTAAAGCAGTATTTGCTTCCCGTGCTCTGAAGCATTTAGAGACGAGGTTTTCTTTATGCTCATTCAAACCTCAGTTTTATTAATGGAATAACTGAAGTTTAAAAATACCCTAAAAATATTTTAAAGCATAGGTCAAGCTAGCACAGCAAGGCATCCTTGCTCCCCAAGTATAAGATCTATGTTGTGGAGTCAAGAAAGAAGGACCAATTTCCTTTTTCCACACAGGTAAACAAAGTTCATAGCAACTTTTAATGACTTTCTAAGGGTCATCATTAAGCCTGGGAGATCTTAGAGCCAAACTAAGATCTTCTGACTCTCAGTTCAGTGGTTTAGTCACAGAGTTGCCCTCTGTGCTTATCAGGACATCACAGCCAGTAGCTCTACATATACTCACAGGATGGGATGGGTAAGAGAAGACTCATGCTCTTCCAGACTCTTCTGGATACAGTTTTCAGAAGTTCAACATCAGAAAATACATTTTACAAAGACTAACACTAAGACCCCTGAGGGGGAAGAAAAGAAGGGAGGGGGAAGGACCTTTCTATTCTGCTCCTGAGCTTATCTGCTGACTTACATGGTAACAGAGAGGGGGAGAGAGGCTTCTGTTGGTCTCAGAAAGCTTCCCACAGGCTGTTTTGATGGCAAGTATAACACAAAAAAAAATTACAAATAACTATACATTTCCATAGCAAAGATAGACGGGATAATCCATTCCTATCGTGATTTCTCTCACAAGCTCAAGGCTAGACACACTCTAACAGATAGAAACATCCAGTTCTGCTGTTATCCATAGCCCAATTATTAATGTAACTTTTAATTAGAGACCAGTTTACCTGATTAGTATTCTGGTAGAGCTTATGAAATTTACCCACTGAAATTTTCAATAACTTTTCATGTCCTTCAATGCTGGCAGAACAGTACAAAAGGGTCTAAATACATAAGAATTGTTTTCAAAATAAAATTACCATTTATTATGTTGTTAGGTTTGTGGTACTTCTCATTTCTCCTATGGGAATCAGTAACAAATCTCCCTGAAACTAGGTAAAGATGTTCGGAGCACAGGAGTGATTTTACACCTGGGCATATACTTGCATTTTATAATCCTGTAACTCAGTGCTAATACACTACAAAACCCAAATGCCAGGATGATGATGATGAGAAAGCTCATGTCAGAGCAATACCTGATTACAGTAAGAGACATTTTAACATGTTTCAAGCACTTCTTTTAAGAATAACATATTGCAATGGTGGAATCTACTGTTTCCAGGCACTCAGCAGGTTTCTCTGAGTTTGCATCTGTTTTTACAGCGAGTTCTGTCAAATCCATTAAATGCCTGTATTTTTATTAACCTAGGGTTTATTTTTGTGTCATGAGGCACTCAGATGATGGGTAGTGCTAGAGACTTGGAACAAATGAAAGCATACATGGGCAAGCAACCTGCATTTACCTTTCATTAAAGAAGGAAAAAAAAAATAAATCAGAATTCTAAAACACTGCTTAAAAACAGAAATGAAAAATAAAGGAAAAACCTATGGCTGAGCTAGAAGCTGAATGCTCCAAATAAAAATAGGAAGGAAGCGCTTTGCAATTTTATTCTGGGGGTTTTCTTGATTGTTTACTGTTTATTTTACATATGTTTTTGAAAAGGAGACTGTATTAAAATACAATCTTACACTTCATACTGAATCTCACTATGAAGATCAAATACTTGGAAGTGCCAGCAAGTAGCATCTTGTTTCCAATTACCCACTCACCACATACCAAAAATTAATAAAAATGAGTTCTTCTGCCAAGTCATAGTTCTATTTAAATATATGGACACCAAAATAATCATAATGGTAACAATAAAAAAAGTGGTTTGAGAAAGCTTATGTAAAACAGTCTAAGCATAGGTAAATACAACAATCAAAAGCTACCAGTACTTTTCTAGTAGACAAGAAAAGCACAAGAAAAACCTGGAAAGGGTTATCTTAAAACGCAGTAGTGTAAAAATAGTGAAAGTGGAGGTCTCTTTTCAGTTGCCTTTTAAGAAAAAAAGAAAGGAAGAAAACAAGTGCACTTTCAAAACCTTGTACGCCAAGTTTTAGCCCAGAGCAAGTTTTCACTGCTACGTTACAAACCCTTGAAAATAAAGGTTTATAATGGAAATGCTGACAGACCCTTAACCATAGCAGCATGAATAGCTATAATTAAAGGAGAGCTTTTGGCTACACCTCACTCTGTAAATGAAAGATTGCCATTTTTACAGTATCCTCAAATAAAAGCAACTGGGAAACCAACCCGGAATGCGATTCTAGCAATCCAGCAAGGTATGTTAAAGGCAATTGCTAAAACTATTTGACATTTTAAGCTTTAAATACTGAGGCATTTAGTTAACATAACCAAGTCGGTATTTTCATAATGTTACTTAATCAGCAATACAGAATACTCCCGTGAGCCGTCATCTGGGGTTAGCAGAAAGTGGCACATGAAGTTATTATTTCCTAACAGCCTAGAGGGACCCGCTTCTTGCTTTAATCTGAGATCTCCCTTCCTTCCTACCTGTAAATTCCTTGTCATACAGTTCTAAAATCATTAGAAGTGCAGTGTACAGAAGTCTTACATTTATGAAAGGCCTACTATCTTCTATATACCTGGATTTTAAAAACAGGAGAGAGAATGGCTTTGAACCATTTCATCCTTTTCTGAGTTTGCAGACCGACCAGGCCTAATCAGTCTGGTTAAGCCAATAATAGTTTAACATCTGGTTGGCACAAAGTTCACCAAATCTTCTGAACCGAGAAAGGGGTTTTAGTGTTTTACTCGTACAGCAACAGAGGACTATTTTCAGCGAGTCTGTCAAAGTGGGAGAGAGAACCGGTAACATTTTCCTGTTCCATGCAACCTGAAGATCAAAGAGTTTTAGAAACGTTAAGTAATTAAGCTTCTCCGTAGATGGGATAAATAGGTAGGTAACAGTAACCAAATGTATAAATACAGAAGTTGAAATAAAGAACGGTTAAAAACAAGGCTCTAATAATCTCTCTCATACCAATTAGTATTTGAGCATGCTGGTAATTCAAATATTTCAGCAGACCTGCTTTTTGTAAGAAAAGGGCACGAATACTGTCCTGTACCTTGTCTGTGATGACCTGAGAAGTCTGTAATGAACTTCTCTGCCCTCCTCTCTGTGTTACAAGAGGACCACATAACCTCCAGGTCTGGAAAGCTTCGAAATAATGCCAAGTTATAAAATAGGCAACTTTTTCACCAGTCTCAAATTTCTCCTTATTTCATCTTTAAAAACAACACAACAAATGCTGTGTATTAGCTAATGGAGAAAATGTCAAAGTATTTTTGAAGTCTCCAATTTATTCCAGTAAATACATTCAGTTGAACTGAAATAATAAATAATAAATCAACTAAACTTAGTTTCGCGCTTCATCTTTTTTCAAAAGACTGCCTGAAAAACAGTTGTCTTTGGATGTATAAGCTATTGACAGCTGCAGTCAAACTACTAGACAATAACAAAGAACCTAGTTAAAGAGAGATCTTGCATATGGGCCTCACTATTCCTATTATGCACTCTTCCACAGCTCTTTCCACATATTTCAGTCTTGCACATTTGAAGTAATGGCAGATCAATAGCTGCCTCTTAATATTTTACAAAAAAAAAAGCGCAGTTTGGGCTTCAAACTGGAGGACTACTTCTCAAAGGCATCAGTAGACAAAAATATGCTTATTGAAGGGCACTGTAGATGTTGAAAACTGAACTAGTACATCAAAGCAGAACTGCTTGAAAGTGGTAAAATATGATTTCCTTCTTTCCTATTGAACCCCAGACAAGTATTTAAATCTCTAACTGTTGTATTTGATTGCAACCTTGGTGAAAGAGAAAAAATAGAATGAAGGGTCTGAAAAACAGAATAGATGCACTGAAGAAAAAAAAAAAAAAAAAAAAACAAAAAACCACACACCAAACACCAAAACCCCCTAACTTAAATAATTTAGTACAGATAATAATTTTGACATTTCCTGTGCCAAAAGAAAGATGGTATTGCCTGAAATAGTAGCAACTGGAAGACTTTCTACAGTGCCACTAATTCATAACAAAGTTTCAGGGATGTCAAACCTAATGTGCTGAAATAGTAAAGAAACATTTCTAAGACTCTAAATGCAGTGAGGTATCGGTAGATTTTGAAATGCAACATATCATTCACATTCCTCCAGAGATCTCTCTTTCCTTTTACTCTATTTCCCTAAGAAATTAATATGAACTTCAGTTTAACCCTGAACACAAAAAACCCATGCCAGTCTATATCCACAACTTAACTAAATAACTTACCGAAGTCTGGCTATAACAACCTGAAGAAAATTTAGGACCATACTCAGTTCAGCTCCTCGACAAGCAGGCAGCAGCATAGTAAAGCCATCATTGAGCAACTTTTCCTCAGAAAGGCTCAAATAGCAGCTGGTCTCAAACACTTCTTGGACACCATCAATGTAGGTTGAAAGTAGAGTCCAGAGATTTTGTTTCTGTATGTAGTCATTTTTGGTTACTAAAAACTCCTTTGCCTTCTCACTGAAAGCATTTGAGAGTTTCTCAGCTAGGACACTAATGTCCATGTTCTTCTCAACATAAATTAAAAGGAAGGCAAAATGACCTCTCCAGATGAGAGCTCTCCGAGACACAGTGATGGAGGATGGAGTCAGGAAATCCAAAAGATCCAACACTCGACTCACTATATCTTCTGTCTCTGCAACAATTGCCAGCAAGAGGAACAGGTTAAAAAAGTTCTGCAGCCCCACTTCTGTCAGCTCCTGCATTCTTCTCCGATGGAACTTGGAATAAATTCTACATTTAAAAAAAACCAAACAAAAAAAAACAGGAAAGAGAAAGTTTCTTAAAGTATGTAATTTTCTATCTGCTTGATAGACTAAAATTGTATTTTCATGCTTTCACTTTACAGTTAATTCTCTTCCAATAACCCTTAAATTTTAAATATCCTCTCTTCCCTCTCCTCTTCTACTCTTTTAGCTACTGGAACAAACATGCTATTTCACCTTCTGCTGTTAATACAAGCAAACATTAACAGTTTTCAACCTCAGGTACAGCCTAACCCTTCTCCCTTATCCAACCTCTAGCACAAAGCTGAGCACAGTGTTACGAGCAGAGTCTTTCTATTTTGTCTGTGATGAGCATCCTCCATACCATGCCTTCACATCAACCAAATTTAGCCCATGAGGGCTGCTAGGAAAGGAAGTTACCAAATGGAATCTCTTCGCAACAGCAAACAATTCCTGTACCCCAACATCTTCCCGAGAAACTCCCTTATTTCCATGTGGCACAAAGAAAATTAAAAGAGACTAGGAACCCACCTTCCTTTAGCTACTGATTTCTGTTCTTATCTTATAATGCCACAGCCGCTGTGATCAAAGGCTCACCTACCTAAGCATCACTGCAGTAAAAGGGAGAGGAAAATTTCAGATGGAAAGCTCCTTTTCTCCACAGTGCTTTGTCAAAGTCTGTACTGACCTGTATTGCACCTACTGTATGGACTGTGGGCTGCAAGTCTGGGAGAAAACAGGGAAACTGAGGCATTTGGGAGAGAAATCTCTCTCCAGCAGGTAGATGTTAAGAAACTTTAAGCTGTGTTGCTTATATGACAGTGCTCAAGTCATATGTAGCTGTTGGTGAGAAGCACTGCTCCTTTGCAGTTTTAAAGTGGTTGACAAAAAGGAGAAAGCTCTTGCACAGGTGTCTTTGCTGTGACCTTTGCTTGGATCTGGTCTTTTAAATAAATGTCACCGTTCCTACCACAGAGGAATAAGTGAAAATGGCTTGCTTAACTTTTTGATTTGGGTGTTTAAAACCTTGCATATATGCTTCATCTTTAATTTAAAGTAAGTTCCACATACAGTAGTTAAATATCCATAAATGCTGTTTTCCTATTCTGTCACCTGGAAAAATAGTTGGAAATGGTGCTGAGGTTATCAAATCTAGCCACCAAAAATTACAGCAAATCCAATTAATGTTGTTTAGTAGTAAATTACTACTGACAGGCATTTACGTTCTTCATGCATCAATTAATGCTTGGGTAGCTGCTGAAAACAGAGTTCATCCCAAAATCGTAGCTGTAGGCTGTTAAATTTTGCTGCTTGTGTAATTGATTTATTCAAGGTAGAAATGATGAATACTGGTTGAGCAGACTGATGCAGTGTGTGTTGTGTATCATTATTCCCCCTCTTAAATTAGGGAAAGTAACAAGCTATAATAGCACAAAAATGTAAGGATAATTTGCTTTTAGTAAAAACAGAGCGGGCTAATTAAAATTGCTAACTAAAGCAAGACACTGATTCAACATCCAACAACATATTTGTTTCTATGTAGCCGTAGTAATTTTTAAACCCAAACTTTACCGACTGTCACAACTCAAGTGTACCTAGACATTAGGTATATTTTCCCTTTCTAATAGCCAAGATAACCCTTCTTTCTTCAAAGAAACATGCACACCTTACAAAGTTATGTGGTATACACATGTGCTTTTTTTATATATTTATTACTTGCACACAAAAAGATTTTCTTAATACTTAATAAAGTTTTAATTAATTTTATTAATACTTGGTAAAATCTTTTCTAAAAAAAATCAAATGAAAAAACTACATGAAAACTAATTCTAAGTCTTCTGTATCCAATGAAAAAAAAGATTTAAAAAGTTAGCACTTTCAATGATCAGTACAATCTCATTACCATAATAGAAGTTTTAAGGATTCAGGATTTAAGCATCAGGATTTTGATTTAGAGCATATATATTTTATGAGGTTTTTGTATCATGACTGACCATACCTCTTAATTAGTATGTTTCAAATTTTTCAAATTAGTCTGTTTCAAAATTAAATGAAAAATTAAAACCCTCACAAAAAAAAAAAAAAAGAGGTATTGTGAGAAATTTTGGAAACCATGAAAAAAGAAAATGGAAATATAAATGAAATTGCAGGCTTAGCAAGAGCCAGTCTGCTTGTTCTTGGACAGCACATGGCTTACATGCAGCTCAAACAGAACTTCTGTGCTTTAATTACATTACCTGCCTGGCACGTGGGTTGTACCACTGCACAGGTTGCCAGTGTACCAAATTCCTGGCCTGTGGAATGAAGTAAATCATCACAGGTTACGGATGCCAAGGTGATTCTTGGACCCAGCTCTTGGACCTTGTCACAGCCTCAGCTGGCAAGAGAAACTTCAGGGAACAATTTGCTTTCTTCAAATTATGAATTGCCCTGGATCCCTCATCCCCTTTACTTTGGCTCGTGAGCACAGTACCCTGCCTTGCTCCGGTAAGCGGTGGGAAGGGTAGTGCAAGCTGACTGACTAGAACTCTTCCAACATGAGACAAACTAAGTAGCGGCCATACCGTCCTTTAATTTGTTTCCAAGGGCGCACGCCACTCTTCTCTCCTTCTTTCATCATCCATGCCAAAATGCTGAGAAAAATGAAGTAACTATTGCTGGACTCGTACAGGGCGGGGATCTGCTGTTCACAACAGCAACTTTTCACCAACTCAAGCATTGACAAAGAAGTTTTACTGACATTTGCCAGACCCTTCAGACCAAGCCAAGGAACAGTAAAGCAACTGTTCTAAAAGAATAAATGAAAACAGAAAAGATTATAAGTAACAATAAATACTCATATTCCAAAGGCAACAAGATGCAATCCTTCACACAAACAAAAGGATATATTCCTGCCACAACTCAAAAAATAAAAATGCATTGTAAAGGTGCAAAGTGTTTTTACAAGATCTTAAAATCAGTATTCCTGATGAAAAGCAAGAGTAAAATATATTATAATTCATTCTATTGTGACATAATGTAATGGACCATAACATACATTTAAACATGATTTCTTAAATAAATGTAGCAAATTTAGGGATACTGCCGTTAACTAGTCAAGTTTTACAAAAGTATAGCAATCAAGCTTGGCTACAAGAGTATCAGAATGAATTGCTAACAATCGAGGACCATCCACATGCAATTATACATTTTTATATACTCATCTACTTACCAGGTTCTTGCTGTAATAATCCCAGAGTATGGTGACAATAGATAGGTTCAAGTCCCAGAAAGTACACAAAGTCAAACAGCACTGAAGATGCATTCGTAAGTTTTCCTCTAACACACCAGTCTTGAAAAGGGAATAAGAAGTTTATTGTAGGAGGGGAGCATCACCTTGTCTACATATAAACCCAATACTATACTAGCAGGCTACTAAGAATAACTTCCTAATATAAAAATTATTATTAATTATATAATGTTGAGTAAATGTAAACCGCATCTCGCAATCCAGTCAATATAATAGTTAATCGTGCACCATTTCAGGCGTCCACAGAGTTGTAGACACATTAAAATAACAGCCAACTCAATATTGTGAGCCTAACTTGAAACACGACTGCATGGTACAGAACCTCACAAAACAGTAAATGGGGCATTAGCTATGCTGAACACATGAGTCAGCAGAACATGTTAAGCCCTTCAATCGCTCAAATGCAAAGGAAAGCTCATTCACCACTGACACACAGCGAAGGCGCAACTATCTGAGAGTTCATGTTTCTGGTTATAATATTCCAAACAGAACATGATTCAGAAAGGAAAGTTCCTCCTTTCTCAAACCTCTGCGACATGGCTGTACTGCAACATCCCAGACAAGTCTAAGTCAAGGGCAGATGAGTCTCTGAACACTGGGAAAAAGAAACAGACAAAAAGCTTCCCACACCACACCTTTTCTATTCATCGGTTCCAAATTTTGCACACAAAATGAAGGCTCATAGGAAAGAAAACAGGAAACGTCAAACAATTTGAACATAGTGAAGCATTCAGGTTGTGACTGTGGGATACCAAGAGTGGGATTCACCTCATCCAGCTTTTGATGTCAGCAAAACTGGACTTGCATCAGAGCTAGGATATTAGGCGCTCCATGCTCAGACTGAAATCATGTGTTTAATCCAGCCTATTTCAGATATCTACTTTAGGATGATAAGTATAAGTGACAAGCCCTGGAAGGGTTTTATTGTCTCTGCTGACTCTAAAAGTGGTTTAGTGGGCCAGCTTGCATGTAGCTGTCTTAGGGGAAGACTTTTACACATGTAAGTAACACATCTCTGGGATAGTAGCGAGCTTGTTCTGTGACAAGAGAAACCCCTGACCTACTCCTAGCTTTCAAATACATCTAAACACTATACAGGCCTAGAATTTCTAAAGGCATAAAATGAGCTAAAGAGGAATAAAAGTGGTAAGAAAAATTAAAAAGATACAGGATGAGTTTTATGACTCAAAATCATAGCCCCAGGAAGAGGAAAATGAAGGAAATCATGCCTCATAAATATTGGGAAGTTATCCCCTTCAGTTCCAATTACAGTGCTAGGTCCTGAATTATGTCCCAAGCTCACTCAGCTCAGAAAATACTTAAATAAAAAAATAATTAAAAAAACCCCCCACTAATAACAGGTGATGGAAAAAGATAGTATTAGCTCGTGTTGGGTTTTGTTGGGGGTTTTTTGGTTTTTTGTTTGTTTGGGGGGTTGGTTGCTTGTTTTAAAATAGTCTTTCATTAAATCCCTGTTACTGGAAGAGCAGGACTTCTGCACTTACCCACAAAGCTGCTACTTATGGTTTACTATGTCTGAGAGCTGCTTTTTTCCCCTGTTTTCAATGCTGCACAAAGGAGTTAGAACTCATTAACTTATCTCTACCTGGCTATACATTCATGTGGAAAACATTATTTGCTACACTTTATCAGAACACCATAAACAATTATACCAATCATGTACAGTAACTTCTAATCATGTCTGCCTTCTCTTCCCATGAAAAATTAACGTAGGGCATATGGCTTCTAAAGTGGTATATTTCTAAAACAACTTGAAAGTTGAAAAGGCTTTTTCAGTTGTCATAGAAAATTATATATTCCAGACATTATGTATAACAACATATGAAAAACACTGAAATAGAAAAGAAACTCCTCAAGACAGATTCATTAAAAGATGTACAGGACAATAGTTCAAATATAATAAAAATGCCTACAAATGAAAGGTCATCCTCAAGTATTGTTTTTATATACAACATAGCTGCAACTATTAAATCAGTAGTGTTCCCAAAATAACAATCTTACACAAAAAAACAAGGGACAGAACCACAGTCGTTTTCAACAGCTGGTTTGGGGTTTTTTCCAATTAATAAAAGCAAGAGTTTCAATGTAAAACAAAAAAACTGCAGCAGAACATACCTGTTTCTCTACAGAGACCTACCCAGTTATGAAAGATGCAAAAACCCACCCAAACCAAAACACACACCCTTTAGAAAGATCATGCTTATTCTTAAAGCTGTAATTTGTGCATAGGATTAGGTTTAGGATCTAATTCAACAAACAATGACTGCTTCAGTTAAATTAATTCAACAATAAACATGGTACTGTGAGCAGCTCAAATTCAACCACTATTTATCTGTCCAACAATAGTTTTGGAACAGTTTCCAAAACCAAGATAGTACTGAAGCCTTTATCTCAAATTTAATATGAAAGAGTTCTCCAGATTTCAAATATCCCTGGAATTAATGGATTCCCTCATTGCTCTTTTGCTTAAAATGGTCTCTTGCACTGCTGGAAATACTATCAGAACTCTTGAGGTAGCCAGCTTTTAATTTATCGCAGAAGGGAGGAACACCAGATACTATCAAAATGATAGTACTATCTAAACACAACATTTTTCTCTTATGACCTCCTACTGTAATAACAAAATTGGTTTCCTGGAACTCCAACAAATACTTCTGTATCTCTTTTAGAGTAGAATTAAACAAAAAAATATAGTGAAGGTATAACAAAATTGAGGCAGAAATGAAACAACATGAAGCATTCATTTTCTAAAATGAGAGAAGGCTAATAAGACAGACTGCTATTAGGTCTTACGAACAAAAAAGCTTTTGATTCTCACTTACAATAAAACTTTGTAAACGCAAATTCATCTTATACTGACAATCCATAAATTTAGTCAGTTTGATGTTGCCTAGTATACAAATACAGCTATGTGAATATTCCTAGTACAACAATTTTCATTTTGTAGTACAAATAGAATTATAAACCAGCTCTGCTTTTGTCATTAGCCCAGCAACAGAAATCCAAATTACAACAGAATGAGGAACACCTCATGTAACTAGTTTCCCCATATATGCCCTTTTTTGTGATACAGATGGGAGATCTTTCACAGAAGCAATTGTCTTCAACACTATCCATCAAGAACTATATATATATATATAAAAAAAAGGCAGTTTCTGGCTGAGAAACTCACCAGTCTGTCAATTGTGTGAAGCTGAAAGGATATATCCAAGGAAGCAGCACTCTACACTTGCCCAGGTATTCATTATTGCTCCTACCTTTATTTACAGCTCACAAATCTCCACTGGTCCCCTAACCAGAACAGGAACAGCACCTTCACATCTTTTCCTTGCTCAGAAGCAGGCTGCCCTTAACCTGCCAAAGAAGGAGTTCCTACCTGGAGAGAGGGCACTGCAGCATCCCTCTGCCACCTTCACCTGGCCCTGGCCCACTTTCCTCAGGAAGGCTTTATCACCCCCAAAGTCAGGCAGATGCTGGATGAAGATGGCTCAGGCTCTCTGCTGCCTGCACAAGGGCTGCCCTCTCCGTGCTGAGGATCACTAAACTCAACAGGTTTACTGAAACTACCAAAACGCTGCAGGTTTAACACTGGTTAGTCATTTTTGCATCCCAATACTCAGCTGTTCTAAGGATGTTAAAGCTAACTCCAGCTTCTGCTGATTCATTACCAAATGTGACCATTCTTTTCTCTACTTTCACGATGTTCCCTTACCCTCAAAATCCATGTCTGCAACAGTGCCTATTAAATAATCTTTTCACAACACAGAAATTGAAGCTCACACGGAGAGAAATTAACAGTTAGTTGTAGGAGAGAGATTATCAATTTACATTACAAATGTACGATCTGCACCTTTTTCAGATGCTTTTGAACACACCCACTACACGTGCTTGATTTCATCTCCATTTCCCCTTCATCCTTTGTATATTCCCATTCTCCTTCTGAACATGTAGAGTCTACAAGCTTTTGAAGTTAGGGAACAACAAGCATAAGTGGATTATGAGGTTAACGGACATACTAGGTACTAAATATGGTTAGTTTTTACGCTCCTACATACTTAAAAATGAAGTTTCTAATCATTAATTCCTGCCCTCTCTTGCAAGTGAGTGATTTGGCACTATAATTTCTTGTAACTTATTTTGCACAGCGATTACTGTGCATCTCTAGTACAGATAACAGAGGATATATGCAGAAAAGGATGGGTCATGCAGGATTTACTAACAAACTCAAGTCAAGTATTAGTGGGCAGTATCATCAACACTGTCCTATTGTTCATTCAAAGAGCACTATTCTCTTTTGCTTCTTCTTCCTTTTCCATGTTCCATTTCATTATTGACTTCTTGGTATCTCATTGTGCTTCTCATTGCTACATTTTCTGGTCTCAAAAATACTCAGAGATAAAAAAGGATAAGATAAAACGTAAGAGTGGCCACATGAAGCTGACAGATCAACAGAGGAGATGGACATGTCTACAGATAAAAGAAAATCTCCTTCCTAGACACTGTCAAGAAGGCTGGTGTGCAGGGATAGGAAGTGGGATGCATTTTTTTATAAAAGTACCTACATGCATTTGTGCATGCACAAATAGGGACTAATGCTCTCCAATGAGCATTTTCTACAAGCAGCTAACTCCATAATGCAAGAAAAAATAATGAACAAATCAAAAAAAAGTAAACTAGATGGCTCCTTAGATAGTTGGTATTAGTTGCAAACATATCATTGGCAAATGATGGCTTGTTTTAATTCCAACAGTGGTTGCCTTCAGAAATTAAAACAGGTATTTACCTCATATTACTGTGTCATGATCAACTCGTTATTCAAATCTTCAGAACCTGGCCGCTTAGCTGCCTTTCTAAACTGTTCACAATTCAATACTTGTTTAACAGAAGTATCAAAAAGCTGTATATTGTACATTGATTCAACTTCAGAATAATCTTCACAGTCATCTTCAAAACAACAAACATTCACAAGAAAAGAGGAATATTTTGAAGAAAAATGTAACTACAAGTGTCCTCTTACTGTTTCACAGGTTGCTGACATACAGAAGATACAACACAGGAAGGTGGCTAAGCAGCTACTCACAGTTTTTATGCCTCTTATCTCATCTAAATCTCTCTAGTTTCTCTCAGAATGGTAAGCATCCAACAAGTGATGTCATCACTGCAGTTTTAATGTATATGCACAGTGTGTGTATTCAGTTATATACTGTGAAATCATTCAAAAAGAGTTCACCTTTTAAGCTGAAAGACTACATAAACAAGTATTAGAGTTTCTGTATAGCATGACTTTCCAACTTTTTAATACCGTCTATTGTTTCAACTATCCTAACAACTACAAAATATCTTTTGTTACAACTACAGTTTTTACAAGTGTTGTTCCATACTCCAGCTTCAACCACAGCTATTGCTACTGCATGAGCAAGGCAGTAATAATTCCTCTTCTGCTTACAACAACAGAACTCTGAAAGATTTTTTTTTTATTTCATCTGAGACCAAATAAAAAAAACATGTTTATTTTCTTCTTAAGCGTACACAAATTAAAGAAATTATTCTTATAGGTGTTGCTGATACAGCGTTTGCAATTTGTACCATGCAACTTCAGAACAGACTTAGAGCTGCAACGTAACATATTTAAAAACGTGATGAACAGCATATTTAAAAGCATTTTAAAAGGAGGTCAATTCTGACCTCTGGGCCATGAAGCATTGCATTAACAGTTCTGCAGAAAGAAAAATGATAAGGTATGAAATGAGTGCTCAGAAACTAGAACCTTATCAGTAAGAGTTTGATTCAAGCCTGTAAGACAAATTGCTCAGCAAGGCAAGTCACCTTCCCGCTGTGATGGGGATATAGCTGAATTTTCAATGGAACTGACTATCTCCCTCATCATGTCTCCTCAACTTGATATCCTTACATTCAGTACCTGGTTTACATTTTCTACGCATCCAGTTCTTATTCTGAATACATCTTGTCTGAGTAGCCATATACCTACCCTTCCAGGATAATTATCTTTTTCCTTTATCTGACAATTTAGCATCAAGCATAAACACTTTAAAGCAAGTGTAACTGCTAACAAGGAAGAAACTGTATACTGCCATAGTTCAGCTATGTCAAGGATGTTCATTTATCTGTGATAAAAACACTAGAATTCCAAAAATACACTTGTTAGTTGGACTGTGTTTCATGCACTGTCTTTTCCCGAAAGCATCCCTGACACTTTCCTTGTTCATTATTTCTTCCTTTACACACTTACTTGAGCATCAATGGATTTTTTGAGGAGTTCTTCCACAAATTTCCAATTGGATTCCTTCTGCTTCTGGAAAATAACGATTATCAGCATGAAATAGCATTTGTATTCCTCACAGGAATCATTATGTGATAACAGGAAAATAAGCAGGCAAGAGATTTCCAGAAATATTTAATTTCATGACAGCATATTGTAGTCATCACTGACAACAGCTCTTTCGTTTTACTAATGTAATTGATATCTGTCCTAAAAATTAGGCCTCAAAAACAAATAAACAGCTGAAAATAAAGAGTACGCAATTTAAACTGCTTTGACTCATTTGCAATCCCAACCTTCGCTTTTAGTAAAGCAGCAAAACATTCAGGCATTTTTGATTAGTATAAGCAGTAAGTATGTCTTACAATTTCTTTCTTTAATATTCTGTAAAAAGGAAGATACAAGGGGAAAGAAAGAGGAAAATGTACAATCTCACATTTTCTTGTTTTTTCCTTTTCAATGAAGAAAACCCACTTCTAACTCATTTGTCCCAGGCCAAACATTAAGGATTGTTCTGGCCAACTCAGTAAGGAAGGAGTTGGCCAGATAGTCATGGCCTATATAGATAGAAAAAAAAATACAAGGTAGGTCAAATATGGCCCATAATTCATATTCTTCAGCTTGGGAAGACAGATGGCTATCCATTTGAATCAATTAGACCATGCTAATGAAGTAAAAGAGTTGCACGGCAAAGTATATTAAAAGGAAGAGGAAAAAAATGTTTAGGCAAAGTGGGTAAGAAAAGGGTAGAAGGTTTTGCAACTAAAGCTACTTACCAGGAAAAAAATAAAAGGCAACAAAGCCAACACACTTCCAATTCCAGGAGGTCCAAAAATCATCTCTTACACTCAGTTATGTATATAGCTTGTGTAGATAACCAGATGTGTGAACACAGTACTTTCATCATTGTCCTGCCTTACTCATTCCCTCCACTATCACAACTGTTAAGCCCTGTAAATTATTCTGCAGATACCTGTCCTTTAAATGTCTGTATAGAGCTTAAAATAAAGAGCGTGTTATGCTTTGGTAATTGAAACATAACTACTTTCCAGTAGCAACACCACTGTGCCCCATCCTCCTGTGCTACTGACTACGATACTTAATGCTGTGACTTGGTGACAATTCCACACAGAACTCCAGAGAGTATCGAGATAAATTTAAAGATGAACTCTTTAAAAAACATGCACTAATACTTATGTAATTTGACTACCTGATGGCTTTACATTTTTGCACGACAAGAAAAAGAGAATTGTGAGAGATCAGCGATGGTAGCAAGTGGCAGTCTGCAGGCTGTTTATGGAACAAATATGAATGAAAGGACAGATCTGCAGAAAGTTACACCAAAGCTGCGATTTCATGATTCAGGAACTTGAGTCGTATCAATTAAAGGAGTTCCCACCGCTTCCTCCTCACCCTGCCAGCTGCAGCATGCCAGTGCTCGGTTGTTCTGGTACTTCTGCTTGTGGGACTCAGCAAGAACCAGATCACTGAACCGACCCGGAGTTTTAGGAGAGGAAGAAAGAATGAAAGACGGAGGAGGGCCTGACCTAGGTCATAGAATAGGGACACAAATAATTGTGGCAGAAGAACAGACAGCACATCACACCTAGGGTCATAAACAGGACTTCTTAAGTTGTTACTGATGCCAAAGTCTTTCTGTCCTGAAACCAGAGAGGCCACTGCATCAACAAGTAGTCGAAGAGTAAAGGCAGCACTTCAATAAGGAGTAAAGTCCAGGAGGTGCACAACCAGCATTCCCAGACAGTTCTGGCTAGTATTTACATCAGATTTTTGACTGCAGTATTTTAGAGATTGATGTTATGTGTATCTACAACACTGGCATGGTCCTGCTGCAGACTCCAAGTAAAGCTAATCAACTGCTCAAGAGCCAGATTTACCAGAGATGTGTAGATATTAGAGAGTCACGCTAAATGGCTACGAGACCTCTGAGAGTCTGGATCAGTGTGCCTACAATGTGCTTTTAGCACTCCCATAGTCCAGGGACACAAGATTTATACAAAAGGTGTTTATTGCCAAAGTCCCAGCTCATCTGCAGTATGCAGATCACTACAAGATCCTGGAGTAATCCAGGGCAAACTCCTGACACCAACTGGAATTGATTACAAGAGTGCACCCAGGTTCAGCCCAAACTCAGGAAAGAACGACAACAACCACCCGCTGCACTCTTTTTTTTTTTTCCCCACTTCAATTGTCTCTAACTTTTGACAGACTTGTTTCATTCAAATCCCACTAAATTTACCTCCTAACAGTATTCCCTGCTATACCAGCAATACAGCGTGGCAACTGTTCACAATCCATCCTTGTCAGAGACTACGTAGAATCTACATCTCTTACTCCAAACCTGCTGGCTTACAACATCCTCCCTCCACCCCAGAGACTGATAAAAATCAACAGACCCCAGAGACCTCACAGTGCATAAAAGCACTGCTAAAACCAAAAACTTGAGCTGAGACCCTCTGGGTTCACAAGAAGCAACTTTTGCAAGGACTAACAGCTGACTACCTGGAAAAGCCATACTAGGCTTCTCAGCTGGAAGTCCACATTTGCATATCTCAGAACGTAGTCATTTCAGATTATTCAGAGGCAAGAATTCTTAGCCCCAAGTAATTCTGCCTATATTTCCCTAGCCCACAGTATATTGAAATTGACCCCTGCAATGTTCAGAAGGAGCAAATTTTCTCATCAGGTCCCATTTGGTTTTTAAATGTACAAATCCTGCTTTTCAGAAGAGTGAAGTGGGACCTGAATGGGGGTTACAGAAAGAGACGTGCACTGTACATCCCTCAGAACAGAGGCTCTAAGAAACCTGGCCAAAATTTTCTAGTTTAAAAAAGTGGTTTCATGTGTATGAAATATATATTCAATATATATAAATCATTACATATTTGAAGTTACATTATATGAGCTAAAGGGGAAAAAATAAAAAGAAGCAAGTCTGAAACCTGTTTAGAATTTTAAAAGCTTTCATAATAACCTCAAGGCCATGCAGTCCACATTAAAAAATTGAAAATCTTCCACAGATGACATAGGCTTAGAGGCAATTTTTGCTACTAAGCACATGAATAACCATCATTATGACACATCACCCTCCCACCTCTGATCACAGTTAATTAAAAGAAAGCATGTGTCATGAAGCCATCGCATCAGATGTTTAACCAACAAAACAGGACTACATTGAGTCTTGATGTAATTCCACTGACTTCAAAAGTTTGTATCATGGACTATCCTATCTTATAATGTTCAAAGAATGTTTAATGCTGCAATTTGGGGGGCGGGACGGGACGGACCCAAAGAAAAGGATACCATCAACTATCTATGACAGATAACATTCTTGTGGTATGTGAAAAGGCACTGTTGTTACTGATAGACTTTTTGTAAGCACCCATGGCACTTAAGAGAACAGGGATCCCTGGACAAACTCACAGCCACACTCCGAGAAATGCAAAGCACAGCTAACAGTTTGAACATAAAGTCTACTGGAAACATCAACAGGAGCGTGCACAGGATGGTCTCATGATTTACAAATCAAGACTCGGAAATTCTCTTCTTCCAGTGGGCTCTAAGAGAAAAAATGTTATTTAATCTTGGGCAAGTCACTTCCTGTCACTGCATCTCAGATTCCTACTTTAAAATAACAACAACAGGAATCCTTTTTTCCATTCTACATCTGTTCAGCTTATTTAAGTAATACAGTGCCTGGGGCAAAAAATAATCTCTCATGAGGCTAAATATAGTATGTGCATTGGTATGAGAGACAGGGAAAAAAAATCCAGTGATCAAAGTAAACGGTATAGTATCACTGCATTTTGATTAAGGCGTAAAAATATAAGAAACCTGGGATAAACGTCTGCTTCACACTGGTTTCTGTATTCAACCTGGCAATAACCTTTTCTCTCCATCTAGGTTCCTCTAATAAGCAGTGAGTATAGCAATTCTATCTTCCCAATACCCCTCTGAAATACACGATGGACTATGGTCCTCCTCCACTACCGTAGTAATAGGGCAAAAGGAAGGGAAGCTTGAGATAACCTTCAGTGTAACAATCAGATACGGTCGGCAATTTTACACTGTATGAACGTGCAAGAAGTTGCTTCATTTTGCCATGGTATTATTCGAAAAGACTGGCCCACATGATAACGAGCAGCCTGCCACAGGATCCTAAAGGATCTGTCAACCCGCAAGCAGCAGAAGCATCTCACATGCATTAAGTCCTCTAGTCACCAGAAATGGTCACGAGTTTTTCAACTAAGTATTCATGCACCAAGTTACCACACTTTCCCTATCTTTTTCTTTTTCCCCCTGACAAATCAGGGAATTTGCAAGACAAAAATCAATTAAAGTAACTCTTACTTTTATTAGAGAGCCTAATTTTACTTAGGATTAAAAACATTCACAGAAGTTCAACATTTTTCACTCCTCCTCTGTTTATACACTAATGCTTTTAAAGAGCTAAAGAGGAAGGGGGAGATTTTAAGTTATCAAAACAAATTGATCAACTGATGTGATCACACTCTTCCCTCTTTACAGATCTGCAGTTCACAAACAGGTTTCAAGGTTTTAACCTTTCGTCCTAAGTCAGGACAGGAAATCACAGTAAAGAATTTAACAGAAAAAGGATACGACCTTTCCAGTTTCAATATACACTATTAAATTACAAACAATAAGAGACACTTTACAAGAAAAGGCAATTAAGCCAAATTTGTGGAAGAAGCCATATATAGCTGATGCTTGGCAAACTAGGGAATATAAGCAATCCAGCTGAAATGTAAACAAAACCAAAAAACTTAACGAAAAAAAAAACCCAAACATAACTACGAGGCAAAAGATAAAAGAACAGAAAGACAGATGACAGAAGACCGCATGACCTGATTCTCCCTAGTGCCAGAAACACTATCAGACAAAAAACCCCCAAAACCCTAGATTTCTGGGTCTTCAGCTATCTCTTTGGTTTCTAGTCAGCTCCCTCTACAGTCAATCACGAAAAATTGGCAGCTTTTATACCTCTCAAAATTGATGAATTGCCACAGCAAGTGCCTATTTCCTTCCCAATTAATGATTCGAAACTTAAAACTAGGCAGGATGAAACTCAGTAAGAGACTGAAAGAAGGGTCAGGGTTTACATGACCCCAGAACTGCAGAAAACTGCAGTGATGGCCATGAAGGAATTTGATGCCAGTGTTTTAGTTGTCTCTTGCTTATTCATGGGATTTCCTCAGCTTTTGTAACTGGTTCTTTTTCTCAATATCATCATTACCTCTCATCTCTCAGTTAACAAGGAAAAAACCCCAAAAGATAAAATTGAGGAGGTTGCTTATTTCCTGATGTGGAACCCTTATTGCTACTGACCATTTTGCATTTTCTCCTTGCCTCTATAGATGATGTTGTTCTCACTGGAAACCGACACACTTGTTTTAATTTTGGGGCCAGATTCCCACTGGTTGCTTACATCAGTACCAAGTATGGCCCTACATACATCTTACAGGTGCAGCAATGGCATGTGCAGGTCTCATCTAGGCCCCTTACAGAATGCATGGTAATGTCGAGTTCCTCACAACAAGGTTCAGAGACAAGAACCGGATTAATCAGGGACTCACCTGCTCTAACCAGTATGAAAATCTAAGGACATTTTCTAAAAGCAAGTGTCTTGCAACTTACTGCCAGAACTTCATAAACTGAAGCTTGAATTCAACAGTTATTAGACAGTGTCTGTTGGTACCACACCAACACAGAAAATCAGGCTGTATACATAAAATATATATGCACCTTATCATGCCATTGCTGTGATGCAAAGCGAATGCAATTAGACAGATTGGAATTTATCCAGAGCAGAGCTACCACTTTAAAAAAAAACAAGTGGCATTAACAATTACAGAGTCAATGTTTGTACCTTATGATGTATAAACCTCAGTCTAATGTGCTCATTTCCTAAGACAACGAACTCAGTGAAGTATTTATGCTGCAGGCAGACAGTCTTAAAACATATGCTACATCATTAAGTATATATGCTACTAACTAGTTGGGATATTTCAAGTTCCCTTAATACAGTAACCTACTGAATATCTGGTGTATAACATGAATACATCAGGGGCTCCTGGAATATTTATTGACTTGTACAAAGCACACCTTAATACCACCAACCTTAAAGGACCCTTTTTTAAGGAGTGTGAAAATTCCTGTATTACAACATCAATTGTTTTCTATCAACAAAAATAACCAAGCAAAGTCAGAGACCTAAATAAATTATAACTACTTTTAGGTATTTAGAAAAACCATACTCACCTTTTCATCTAGATTTCCATTACGGTCAAACTGGTAGAGTGATGCCAGATGACTAATAATCCACCAGCTAAAACTCAATGGGTCTTTACACTGAATTGTTTCAAAACTAGACATCCTTTCAGAACTACTTGGCCGTTCAAAGATATTCTTTAGAGTTTTGTTCACCAAGCTCCAGAAACTCTGTAGAAAATACAAAAGAAAATTTGAACTGTCTTGAATATCAAAGCCTATGTTAACAATTTTCTCTACAATACTGTCCTCTTGATTAATTTGCTTTTTACAGCGAACAAGCAAGATCACAGTCATTTAAGAAAAGAACAAAAACCAGTGTTCAGTATTACCAGAGAAAACTTTGAGCTATTTTAGAATGTCCTCTCTCAAATGCCAGTAGAAAGCAATGTGAAAGGACAAGCTTTGGTCACAAGGAAGAACATGGTGTGATACTTCACAGGCAAAATTATAAGCTGATGGAATGACCATGTGCAGACAGGATGGTACACTAACACTCACATGGGAGAGATTAGAGTTCTTTAGTGAAGGTTTTTCATAAATCTGTTACAAAAAAATTTTAGTGCCAAGCCTAATCCCACTAAGAGGAATACAGTAGTAGATAGCAGAGAATCACTCTGAAAGACAGTAAACTGAGGTTCCAACTGCCTGTTTTGTTCCAAGGCTGTTCCAGCACTGACAAACTGATTAATTCTCTCTGGCTCAGATCCCTCTCTATACCACAATATTACTTCTTAGAGCCTGTGCCTGTCTTCCCTAATTATACAGAAACTCTCCAGGACCTCTTTGCACCTGTATTTCACACACCTTAGCTGAGTCCTGATCCTGACTTATGTTTCAAAGTGCTAGTGCAAACACTTAACACTAATGAAGTTTCACTTGTGTTGTCCACCTTTACATCTGTTGTCATTAACAAGTAAACAGCTATCAGTACAAAGACTCTACTGGGAAGTACATCATTCTATACTAAGTGAACAGTACTCATTGCACAGCTGGCAGCTTTGGTTTTTATAAAGATTATTTCAGAAAATTTCAAAGGATTTTGACACTTCTTAATATTCATTCAGAGAAACTTCAGCTCAATTCTAAGCAGCAGTCAAGAAAGAAAAATCAAAATTCTATAAAATATTAGCAAAGGAAAAGAACAAAATAGAAAACATCATTATGCAATGTGTAAAATCATATGGCCACCTAACCAATACTTGGAATATTGCATGCAGTCCTGGTACTCTGCCATTCGAAATAGGATGTAGTATTACAGAAAAAGTTTCAGAGAAGGCGCCCGTAAAAATAATGACTGAATACAGTAAGACGCCTCAGCCTAGAAAAGGCAGAAGGTAGGAGATACCAGAAAAAAAACAACACACTAAAGAGACATATAAAGTCATATCAGTATAAGGAAAGAGAACAGGTAGTGATTGGCTCTTCCAATAAAAGTATAAGGGGGCATCAAAAGAAGTCAGCAACTACAAGATTCAAAAACAAAAAACAGGTTATTCTTGTACAGGTAGTTAAGGTATGGGTATCAAAGACAGAAACATGGGCTAGATGGACCTTTGGTCTGACTGCACCCACGCTTCTAACGCCTGGAGATGAATCATTGCAGGACATATCACTTAAATTGCAAATAATAATAATTTTTTAAAAAATGGGTAAAGATGGTTTCTTTTCTCTTGTTCTACTATACAACTTGCACAGTCTGTTCCTTTGCTTTGCTTTCCTTAGCACAGGGAGCACTCCTTATCAGTGCCCTAAGTCATAACCAAACAGTACACTGCAAACCTAGGGTCAGGACTTGATGCACATTAAAGACAGCAGCCTAAAGCATCACAGTTAGCATGCAGTCCTCCTAAAGCAAATATAAAGTTCAGTTCTATCATCAGATATGTGAACTAGTGCATTCATGGCAACCTGGGAACATTTGGCAACTGTATTGCATATGTAACTTGCATGCATATGTAACAGTATTCTTCCATTACCTCTGTGTGAGACCCTTTATTTCTGTGGTCCAGCAGCTGAATAAGTAGAATCCATAACTCTTTAATGCAGGCACAGGGATAATGGTGACTAGTAAGAGCCTCAGAAGGTCTCACCTGAAAGAGAATATGCAATAAAATTATTCAGAGAAGTGTTATTTTTGAAATTGCATTTTATGTACCAATATTTCCTCTGGTTTTGGTTGTTTGGGGTTTTTTTGCAGTTAAATAATATAGCTATAATTACATATTGGAAAGGGCTTTATTGCATTAACATCCAAAAATATCTCTCTCATACAACAAAAACTGTTTCCTAATTCCACATAAGTTACAGGTTGTGCTATTTCTTAGTTTCTTCTGAACCGTTGAACCGCTTTCAAATATTATTTAATCAAGTGAAAATGAGATTCTGAGGACTAAATGAAGAGGAATTGCAATAAACACCGATTCATTGTCTGACAGTAGGGAAAAGAGAAAATGATTGATTAGATTTTCTTGATGTTCTTGGGAAGAAAAAGATTTCAAATGATTTAATAGCTATTATTGTTGTTATTTTTAACTGAAAAATCCTTAATGACTAGGCATAATGCTAGTGGAATATGTTTTTGTTGGCATGAGGATGTTAATGTTCCCACAACATTTCACAAAATCTGCTTTTCGGTAAATTTACTGCAAGGCATTCTTTTAATATGCAGAAAACAGCATATTTCAAGTCATGTACGTTATTTGATTACTATTCCATATTTAACAAAATTCACTCAGACTGATGCATTTCAAATGCAAAGTAGTCGTCTTGTGATTCATCTTTCAGTTTTACATTCCCCAAATTGTGAAACAAAATAAGTAAAACAGCAAAAGGAAGTGCTAAATACATAAAAATTCTCTGTACGCTTTAAAGTTTAAGACCTACCAGCACTGTATTTGAAACAACCCTAGTATAGACAAAACTTTACTTACTCTGTCTTAGGACTTATGAATCCACTGAACTGTGTTAAGAGATGGTAAAAATAATGAGAAAAGCTTTGCTTAAACAGCATAATTCAGCACATTTTACCTTCAGCAAGGGCACAATAGCAGAAATGTAGGAAGAAAAGAGGCAAGACAAAGCAGGTCATGCTCAATTTATCCCTAAACAACAAGCAGTCGAAGTTTGAATAATCAACCTACACCCCTCTAAAGCAAATAGAGAGGAATGGGCACCAAGAGAGACTAATTTGTGTAACTCACTGCAGGAGAAAGAACTGTTGCTATCCTTCCCTGACAATAAAAAGAACCTAGAGTGACTAGTTTAGCCAACTAACTCCTAGACACCTAGATTTGATTAAATGAATCCTGAATTTTTACATCCTCATGCTCTTCCTGATCTGCCTGATCCATTCACGCACCACTATTCTTGAATCACACTGGTACTTAAAATCATTTGTGAATTTGGAAACCTAATGGTGTAAATTAAAAATTAAATCAAAATATGCAATGCCAGTGACAGGAGTAGCTGTGCAAATGAGACATTACAGAAGTGGGAGTGAACGACTAAAAACCATACTCTCACAATTAGAACAAGTATATCACCAATAGTTTCAAATCTGTATAATATTCTATAAGGATACAGACTTTTTATTTATCATCCACCTTTAGAATGATACGACTACTGTTTTCATACAGCTCCAAATCAGATTTAAATACTGAACACTTAACTATAAGTATGAATTCATACGTATTTATAAGTGTGACACATAATTTGTTTTTCTCTCCCTATAAAGAACCCTGCTTACCCTATGAAATTGCCAGGGTGGACCCTGACAATCAATTTAAGAACAACATGAGGTCAAGACTGAAATATTTAAAATAATTCTATTATTCACATTCCACGTGCGCTGTTTAGATTTTTTCCATGTGCCTATGCCTCCTCACACTTTTAGTTAAAGATCTGTTGTGGGAATCTCTCAACAACCTGAGATAATCTTATGTAAATATTATCTCGAGAACAGACATCAGTGTGACCACTAAAGTCTATTGAAAAACCCATTACTTAACTACTAACTTTCCAAAACTGAAGTGCCTCAAAAATACTCATCATCTAAGAGCAAAACAGATCCCTGAGAAAAAGCATCTACTTATTACAGATGCACTGTAATACTGGAGGATTTTATGGAATTTTTAGGTACACAATCTATCTAACAAGTTTTGGGACTTTTACATGGAGTACCAGTTGTTGCAGCAACTAGGTTTCTTCATCTACTACTTGCATCTACTACTGTGCTCTTCTACAAGATAGCAGGATCTCTTCTGCAGGAGATGTGCAGTATCTGTCCAGGACAGAGTTTGGCTAGTAGTATCAAAGCAAGATACCATACAGATATTGTTAAGACTAAGGATAACTGAGACATTGTTTTCTTCAGAGATAGTCTGGATTTCCTCTTGCAACATCCCGAGTTCAGTATCTTGGTAAGAATGGTTATAACCTCAAATTGTGGTGCGGTTGGGACAGTAGAGCTCTGGTGCCAGAGATGTGGCTGCTGAAAATAGAAAGAAGGTATCCAAGGATATCTATTTCTCTGCCAAATGTATCCCAGAGCACAATGGGCTCAGTACCTGATCTGAGTCAAGCGTCTTGATACCAGTGCTGCTCAAGAAACAGACCTGAAAATATGAGTCTGGAGGACTGGAGTTTATGTCCCTCCTTCCAAGGATACCCACAAGTGTTAAGAGCTGCACTTCTGAATATTCTCAGCCAAAAGCTTAATGACAAGTTTTAGTGATGAGCTGACAGTGCCATCTATTATGGGTATCAGTTGTGTTTTCAACAATTTTGAGGGATGTTACTTCTGTTACTGAATTATAGCAATGAATGCATACTAGAGGAGGCACTAGCTGAAGAGACGTTTTCCAGCTCAAGTGCAAGCTCCACTTCAGAAATGAATCTCAAACAGAACTAGTTCAAGCTGAGCAGCCCAAGCCTCAGGAGAGCTGAAGAAAAAGCAGTGGCAAAACAATCTTCTCTTTGTAATGTGGCTCTGTGGAAGTAGGATGAATCTGTCATTTTAACATCTGACATTTCAAAGTCTACCATCAAGCACAATGGTCAACAGATAATATTTGAATCTTCCTTTAAAAAAAAAATTACTCTCGTCTATTTGCCTTTTGATGGAGAAGGAGGTTGCAGGATTATCTGATAATTTAATACATCAAAACTGATTTCAAAAACTAAGAGTTCTCTACAGAAAGATAGTTTAAAAGAACAGTTATCAAATGCTAGTAGAGCCATTCCTACCGCCCCAAACAGTAATATGAAAGAAGAGGGACTCCATTTTTCACGTCTTTGTACTAGGAAAACAAATTATACAGTGGTCACCGCTACTTATTCTCAGAGTTCAGTCCTGCACTCATGGATCACACATGTCCATCTAAAGCAGATTTCACAATGACACAGTCAAAGAAGATTATGCAGTTCCTTTACTAGCTGCTATATGGAGCCATTATGACTTTCCAGCTTTGGAGTGCTCAAAACAGGTAAGAAAAAAAACCACTGCAGCTATAGAAGGAAAGAAAAAGAAAAGGAGAAGGACAAGTTTTCCCTTGACAAACATAAAAGCATTGTAACAGAAAGATGAGGTTGTGGAAATAGGAGCAGTGCAACGATAAACTGTAATACGACATTCTGTAAGTGTCCAGTTAGCTTACTGCCAGGATTACAGTCATTCTCTTTTTGTTCCTGTTGAGAGACTGAAAAGATTTTTTTTTTCATCTATAGCTCTAAACCTTTTAGACTGTGCCATGTTTGGCATTAAACCTGGAACACTGAACTTAGGAAATGTGGCACTCACTTCTGCTCTGTACACAGTGCATTTCAGTATTACTCTCTCACTCAACTGCCAGATGGTCATGAATAAATATAACACAATTTGAGCTCCTAACAAATAACACTCTTTAAAACATGGAGATAGAAAGCCATACATAACATTTAAAACTTAGCAGTAAGAAGTCATCTATGTGTTGGTGCAGTATCTAATTCATACGGTTCCCAGTATAAGCATCTAACTGCCCATGTCCTATATAAAGAAAAAAAGTTACCTTTATATACTTGTTGATGGACAAGCTTATTAAATCAGATATGAGATTTCCACAGTGTGTTTCAAATAAACTGATACTGGTTAAATTCTCTCCGGTTAGATTTACGAAACGGTTAGCATATACAACTTGTCCTAAAACACAAAAGAAAATTAGGTGTATTTAGTCCTGGGTTTGGCTGTAGGAATACAAGACAGACAGGATTTTTTTTTTTTTCTCTCCTACGTATTTTAGAATTGGTTTGTTGAGCTGTATGTAATTTTAATTTACTAACTCCTTTGGGAAAGTTTATCCATTCTAAGTTCAAGCTACTCCATTATTACACTGAAGTCTGGTATTATTCTGGTTGAGAGTAAAATAGTCTGGTACTTTACAGCCTTTTATTGGCACAGTTTTTGCAGTGGAATAAAGATTTATTTATCTGCGAGTTCCTCTTTGTCACATGCCAGTGCGCATGTTCTGAAATCATGACATGTTTTGCAGATATGCAAGTTGATGACAAACAATTCTGGAGAGGTCTAACACTTTCCTTTGGATGTGTTGATGCAAAAAGCTGGCATGATCATATTCCAACCTGAGCATTTGTAGACATTAACACAGATAAAATGGTAAAGTTAAGAGGCTGTAAGATCTTATCCCACAAGCTTTTCAACAGTACAAGTCCCTTGACATCAGTGGAACACAAGATATGTAGAACAAGTCTGTATTTTATTCTTGGAAACGTAGGGTGAAGCCCTGAACCCACCATCCTGCCATTGGTCTCAGCAGTGTGAATTTTCTACTCAGCATATTTTGCAGAACAAGATGTGAACCTAAGAAATTCTACAAGGCACATCAGAATATAAGACATGATAATATATGTAGATACTACTGTCTTGACTAGTAAGTTTTGTTGTTAAACAGCACGAGCCTTCTCTTATGAAAATGGATTACTGCATTATTACTCAGAACTTTATCTAGAAAGTAAATATAGAATTCTGGACAATAAGTTGCCTCCAACAGTCTTCGCATCCTTTCTTCAAAAGGCCACAAAAAAGGAAAGCAGGTTATCCCACAAGAGATCATAAAAGCAGCTTAGAATTATAGAACAAACAGCCAATCCACACATTAGCCAGTAACATGGACACGCAGAAAAGTGAAGATGCATTAATCCAAGCAAGGCTGTGTTGTGACAGCACTCGGGAGCAGGTGAAGGCTAATCCAAGAGTTCAGATTCAGTCTCAGTTAGCTGGGCTAAACATGCAGCGCATTCCTTCTAGATCTCAATGTTACTCCAACTGTTGTAATTCCTATATGGAACTTACATTGATAATTTATAATAAGGGGAGGGGGAAGTGTAGGTTTGGTTGTAGTGACACAATGATTACAGAACAAAATACATTCTTGTGATTTATTTTGCTAGCATGGACACAAACAATAGATATAATTCTCACAAAGCAAATAGAGTTCTTCTCTGTACTGCAGAAGAATTGTTAAAATAAACTGAACTACTTTGAAGTTGGGCTCTTCAATTGCATTCCATGACCTTTTTTAACTAGCTTCTATGAATAGCTTACTCTTATCAATCTAATTTTTGCCCTTTTAAAGCCTTTTTTTTTTTTAAAAAAAAAACAAAACCAAAGAACAGCTATTGTCTCGCCCTTTTCTTGCTGTACTTTTACAAGCTCCTCTCACTGAGGCTTCTTCTTTTGCCCAGTATTTTCTTCGTGTCGCATATGGTTAACAAAATAAATTCTCTGATATTCTTTGTTCTGGTCTATCCTTGGCCACTTTTCCTACATTTTTTTTCATCAAATTGCTGTTCACTGTTATGCATTCTGGATCTCTGCAAACGCATTTTTACTTGCAATGTCAAAAAGCGTACTGTTATTAAACATTCAATATGTTGTAAGCATTAGTTGAGAACAAACTTCTTAATCTTGGTCAAGTTTGGATAGAACAAATTCCTAATACTATTATTGGAGCTACATGAAGATTCACAAAGAACCTGCCTTCACCATATTTGAGTTTACTCCATTAAATATAGCTATGCTTAAAAACTACCAAAAGTAGTAAATGATTCTGGAGAAATTAAGATGAGAAATCTAGGTAAGTTATACATACAAGAATAAGTTCAAGGAAAAAACCTGCATACTTACTCATCATTTTTTCACCTAGTACATGAAGAAGTTCCAGTATTAGCCAATTCATATCCAAGTGGAGATGTAGTAAATGCCATGATGGTGGAAAGACCTGTGATTAGAAATACACACATTTATTTATTTTTAACATTTCTTTAGTAAATTCTGGATACTGTACTAAGACACGTGAAGGTGAGCATACATTTTGCCTGCAGCGAACATTATGGATATCTATGATCAAATACACTGTAATATACACACATGCCATTCAGTTAAAGAGGAAAAAAAAAAAAAAGAGCGCAAACAAAAAATCTTCCTGACAACTAATTCTGTCTGTAGAGGATGTTCATGAAGTCTTTAAGCTGATCTTAACTACAATTTAAACGCAATGTCTGGAATCAAGCTTGACAGATTATAACACCCTTAGTTATGCTTTCCTTTCTAGAAAAGTATCAGGTAGCATACAACCTGCTACGGTAAAGTGTGCTCTTAAAGCAATTCCAAAATGTCAATATTCTCTTCCTTAAAGTTTACTTGAAATTACTGTTTCTTTCACCAGCTCAATGGTGGCCCTACTGACAAACTAAACAAACAGCAAGATTCAAAATACTGCCTCTCAGTAGATCATTCTTCTCCAGATACTAGCTTATACAACCTAAGACTGAAATTCTCTTTTTCCTTCTAAAAGATTTGAAAGCATTAGTTACTTTATCTGTGCACAAATCTTAATGGTGTATACTTCACTAGTGTTTAATGTTGCAGTGCCTACTTCCATGTCTGTACTTCTCTTCTTTATATGCATGATCTTTTCCTATTTTGAGTCAGATTTCAGAATGTATTTTTTAAAAAGTGCCTCTCCTACTGGAAAGCTCAGAAAAGTTAGCCATTAGTAAGGACAAAATGCGAGGATTTTTTTTAACGTGCTACGCTAATTCAAGCCTACTTATCTACCTGTAAATGGTATTATCATTTGTATAATATAGGAAGAATTCTAAAAGCTATAAAAGTAAATAAATAAAAATAACAACAGAAAATCTAGAGCTCATTAGATGTGTTTGCCAAGTATGGGATGGCACGTAGTTAATAAAAGGAAAAAACCCAACAATATAAAGTATAATTTTAATTTCAGCCTGAAAGAAGATTATTCATTATTCAGCCAAAATTTATCAAGTTGAATATGTACTATTATACCAAAAAAAAAAAAAGAAAGGTTAAAATTATAAAAGATATCAACCTTTGCCTGATGTTGAATAGTAAATGCTGCCAAGACACTGCTAGGGAGTTCACAAAGGTGGCCAATGTGCATGGTCAAAGCATGAAGCTCTTCCACCAGCATTGATGGTAACTGCACTTCTAGTTCTTCATATGGATGGAGCATTTCCTCATTTTCCACTTTAGGGGGTTCCAGATACCTGAACACACATACACAGGCACACAATCAGAAAATGGGTAAGAAGCAGCTACACAAAGCAGAGTACAGAAGTTAATAAATTGGGTGCGAACCTCACCTGAAGATGAAAACTTTCACATAACGCAAAAACTCAACACATTGCTGTCTGATGCTCTCTGCTTCAGAGTGCAAGTTTGCAGCTTGACCTGAAGTAAAAGAGATCAATAGCTTAAAGCAGATGTGCCCACACTGTGACTCATGTAACATATGCATTCTCCACATTAATTACGCCAGACCACTGGAAAGCCACCCTCTTTTCTGAGGACAACTTGGGAGATGGCTGGTGGCAAACACCCACTTTTAAATGTCATCTTGCCAGAGGGATCCATTCTTTATCTTGTCATCTCAGGTGCATATCCAAATACAGAGGGAAAAAAACACATCCTCAGGAAAGGTGGTAGAGGCAAGCAATCAGGGATAGAAGAAATCATTCAGCCCTACTGCCTTGCTCCCTGTCTGCTTCCAAGACACCTTCAGAAGACACCTGTGAAACAATTTCTCAGCATCCTTTTCTCTTGGGGGACTTAAGCAGGTGGACTTATTTGGAAATATGCTTTCTAACTTCTCTTCCTAGGAAGCATCACACTGTTGCACAGTGCCTTAAGATGCATAATGCTAAGAGCCATCCATTCACAATCCTGTAGCCTGCCTTTCACTTGCAGCTCTGTATCCTTTCAGCCAGTTATTGCAGCTATGTGTCTCCTTTCCTTTGCCCTCTGAAGCTGTTGTTCTCGTGGTGTTACCCTCCTTACCTTGCACCTGCAAGCTCAAACACCATCGATACAGTAGAGATTCACTGGTAGCTATTGCAACTGGTGTGAGAATCGCTCCTTATTTATTCCCACACCTTGCCTTGTAGCTTTCAGCTTACATTAGAGAAAGATGAAACATAGTGCATAACAAAGCAGATACAGCCATTTAAATAACCAATAACTACTGCCCAATAATATATATACACAAAAGCTTAGCAACCAGTCAGCCTGCAACACTCGTACCTGATTAAGCATGTCTCAATCATTGTTAACAGCATCACAAGTGGCAACAGCAAACGAGGAGTTTGAGCGGGCCCCAACGAAAGTGTAGCACATTAGAGGAGATGCCTGGCAAAAGCTCTTTGTCACCTCCTGCACTGACTGCATGCAGAGGGAACGGACATCGCCTTTGCTCCTCTCCCCAGCTGGCCACTGGGGACTTTTCCCTTTCCTTTTCTTGCCCTCTCTCCCCCTTTGTTTCCCCCCTATCCCCTCCAGGTAACCTTGAAGTTCATATATACTACTTGTTACAGACCCTATAAATAAAGTTTAGTGCATACAAGCCTATCTCAACATGTTTTGAGCAGCAACACTCACTGAGTGAAGTAAATCAACTGGTACCAGTACCATAATACTCCAGCGTACAGCCTAACCCCACCACATAGGAACTGCCACCGTAATGAGCCATAAGTTTAGAGGCTCAAATCACTCTGTTCTAAAGGAATTATTTATAGATATTACTGCTGCTTTGTAGCAATAACAAATATTTTATCCTCGTGTTCTCAGAAGTTCTGTTTAAGCAAAATTTTATATTACAGTATTTCACTACAAAATCTTTTGCATACTGTAATAAATCATTGAGCAATGAAATAAGTAGAACAAAACAGGAACAGTAGAGTGTTAAGAATAGATCAGGCATTTTCAAAAAAAGACAAAATAACACAGAGCATAACAAAAGATTTTACATGGCTTCCACATTACACAGTTCTCAGTACCAAGTCTCCAAAACTCATTAAGACTGATAGGAAATTACATTAAATGTACGATATTGATATCTGTATAAACATATACACACAACAAAGATTTACTGAGCCAGAATTCTGAACTGGGGTTTTCAACAGTGGTGATAGCGCATTTATCTAAGACATCAAAAATACCTAACATCACACTGCCTGATCATTTTAAGTATTTTAATCCTCACGACACCCCTCTACTGCTAGCCTGCTTGTATAAAGGGGGAACCGAGTCACAGATGTATCAGTGACTTGCTCTAAGTCATAAACAAGGCCTGGTGCAAAGCATAAAATTCAACAGTTATTTATTTTACTAGCTTAGTTGACAAAAGGAAGAAAAGGATACAGAGAAGAGAACCAAGCAGATGCTTCCATTTAAGGGGAAAAATAACTACAGAACAGTTTCTTGGTGTCCAGCTCCCATATGAAAGTTCAAATGTAATTTAAATTTAAAAACTTAAATATTTTAAATAATTTATTTTTTAAAAAAGGCTGTTTCCACTTATGTATTAAATGTCAGCAAAATTGGACTTTTAAGATACAATCCACAAAAGCACATGCAAGAAGCTTGATGATAAATTCATACTAATGATTTAAATGGCAGAGCATGACAATATCAAACCAAAATAATATTAATGTGTAAAAATACTCACTCGTACTTTTAGAACACTAGCAATTTATCTGTAATGAGAAGATACTACAGACAGTTTATTTCTGAGTAATTACTGAACTTCTCAACTTGCTAAGTAATTCAGCCTTCAAACTTACAATAAGCCCAAGGCTGCAATAATCCTTCAGAAACATACTGCCTCTCATGCCTTAGTATTTAATTGAAACAAAGCGTTTTGTAGTGATCCCATTTTATCGATCCTGCTGCAAAGATAAATTAAGTTTGTAAATAACTCCAAACTAAGCAAATATAACTAACTTGTTTAAATGTAAGCCAAGAGAACACCAAAAAAAGTCCCAGCCCATTACCTTTGTAACTAAAACAGTTATTGGGAGTTTTGATGCAGCTTTCCATTTTTAATTAAATGAGTTAGTAGTTTTGCCAAATTCTACCTTAGGGATGACATCTTAGCTCAAGTCAAATTAATGTGAAATTCCCCACTAAAGTCAGGATTGTCCTGTGCGCTTACTATACAGGCAGATCTGGCTCCAAAACTGACTCACAACATTTCCACTATCTATTTTTCACACTACCGTACATCACTTGGTTGCCTGCATTTGCACCCTTACTGCAGGTTTATGTTGTTCTGCGGCATGCTCCATGGGCCCTTGGTCAAGAGTTAAAGCACAAGTGTGATCTGTGATAATACACTTCTATAATGAAAAGGTAGTCAGATATGTACCCCAATGTCAAATTAAGTGTTAAACTTACCAAAATCAGATGAACTCATTTGTACTAGGTTTTCCAGTCTGTGTATCTGTTGCCTAATTAAAGGAATACAAAGTTTTATGGTATTTACATAGGTAAAAGTTGTTTAACTACATTTTAGTAAGGTATAAATAGCACAGAGAGAGGTGAGAGGTGTTTCTTTCTTTGTATTTCTGAAAAAGTTTACAGAAATGTAACTTAGGAAGGAGTAGTAGAGGAAGGGAACAGACAGGTCTAAGTGTGAAAGAATGACAAGGGATAGAATTTTTGCTTGTTTTTAAAACATTGAACACAGTAACAACAAATACAAGATTAGCTAAGTATCAGAGGAGAAAAAAAAAACCAACCAGACCCACAAAAACCCTGAAAGCCATTCCCTGCAAGGGATCTTTCCATAAGAGTAACACAACTTCATATTTGAACACAGACTAAACCTGAAAGTTAGCCCTCCTGGTGTATACTCAGTGTACACTAAATTCATTTGTGAATGAGCACTAGTAAATTGTGTCAGCAGCCTTTCTTCAGCACAAAAGATAAGCAGCAACAAATAGAGTAAAAGGAGAAAGTGCCTCTAGAAAAGTTAAAACTCAGTTCAGTTTTGGAGGGGAGAGAGCATTTTTAAAGAAGTTGCTAACTGCCATGGCAAATGTGAATTAAAAACAGTTGTAACATAGGTAAGTGGTCAGCCATATTCTGCAACAACTGTTATTTTCAAGAGGTCTTCAAGCATAGGCTCCACAGAAATAACGCAGTGCTAAACTGAATACATGAAAAGCGCAACTGTGTAAAACAAGCTTTTGAAAGAAAATGCTGCATGAATTGAGGAAGGAGCTCTCTGCCTCATTTCTTACACAGTCAAGGTAGCAACGATGGAAGGATTCAAAAACAGGATACTTGGATCCAACTCAGACCAAATGTTCTTACAAAAAAAAATTTGAAAACTAGGAAGTGCCCACAAGGATCCAAAACCCCAGGTTGTAACCTGCATATTAAAGGGCAGGCATACATTAGAATTGTCTCCCTTAGCTCTTCCTTCCTTGGACAAAGTCACGTCAGCTACCAAACATTACCTTCAACCATTTAGGTGGGTTTTGAGGCTTTTTTGTTTTGTTTTGAAACCAAAGCTGAATTTCTGTATGAATTTTTCACGTATTTCAACCATATAGAAAGGAAGAAAGTCTAAAGCAGGAGGACTTTATGAAAGAGGGCTGTTGAGGTTGAAGGTTAGAGAGAGAGAGTGCGTGAGAAAGGAGCCACACAGGGGAAAAAAGATAAAAAAAAAAAGCTCCACTGAATTGACAAAAGACAGGTTACAGTGGGCTGATAAAATAAAAGCACAAACTGGGCATGAGAAGCGTAACAAAGATATCATCAGTTAAATAAGTCACTTTAATTTCAATTTGCGTTTGTACCTCAAAGATTGATCCTCATGGTAGTTAATCATTAAATCACTTCATTTGCAAATAAATATTCTGACAGTTAAACTGGTACGTCTGCTTATTAATCAAAGATACATTGTCTTAATATACCCACTTAAATGGCTACATAGCTCTTACTCACTTTGACTCACACATCTTCAATCACATAAAAAAAACACAAGTAAGAATTCTTTTCACTATGCAATTAATGTTTTTAACTTGCAGTTCTGCTGTATAACACTATTATTTATTACAGTATTTAGAAATACTAAATAACAATCCTTAATATTTACAGACACATTAAAAAAGACTAGGTTTCTGTAAGCATGTATTTAAACATAGATATTATCTGTACTTCATAAATTGAACTATTTACAACCACCTTGTCCTCAAGAATCATTGTAACTTGTACTTTACGCATATGATTTCCACAACAGAAAAAGGAGCTTTCCTACTTTCAGTTGTCAACTGGTGTATAAATGAAAGTGTTCCATTTTATGACTGAACAAATGAACTGAAAGAGAGAATATCTTTGCAGAGGGACTTGTCACACCAAAAGACAGCTTAGCAACCCAACTCTCCTAGCCAAGAGTTAGCTGAAATCCATTATTCCTACCAGTTCAGTAGGTTTTAAAACATGCATAGCTTAAATAACTTAAAAGCCACAATAAAATGTATTATGCCTTATGTTCATCTCTATTACAATTACAGAGCAGTTTATATTACAGAAAAACATCAATTTAATTCAACAGAGCAGCTACATCGTTGTCTCACTGCCCAGTGATTTTATGTTAATAAACAGATGAGACTAAATGCTGAAAGGGATACAGTATTTCTTTTAACTAAGTTATCCTCCTAACTCTTTCTTTATCAGATTTTTTTTATTTTTTTTTTTTTAAATCACAGTGAAGTCAAAGCTTGCATCAAACAAGCAAAGCTAAATAATACTGGTTTTAATATGCTGCCTGCCATCTATACCATCGTGTTTCAGTAAGCCAGACCTTATTAATGATGTTTCATGTCATGCCCTTGGTCATACCCTAAAGGGATGGAAGAATCCACTACAATCAAAGGAACGATGGAATATATCACACATATTTGAGGAATAATACAAAAGCTCCTCTCCCATCCACTCTCTGTATGTGCTGTACATGCTGAGGATTATCAGTAGCAAAGAGGATTATCGGTGATCTGTGTATTTGCATTGACCAGATTAAACATCTACATTGAATTAGTCAAACACTGAGTAACTGTATCTGAAGAGATTGCTGAAGCTATCCTAATCCAAACAATTGAAGAAAGTGCTGCATCCAGCATTTACAGTATTTGATTTTTAACCTCCACTTTTCTTTATGCACAAAAAAGGACTTAAAAATCTTCAAAAAGACAACTTCAATTATATAGGTAGCACAATCTCATTCCAGGAAATCTTACATAGTTTATTCATATATGCTGAAGCTAGAGCCTTCTAAATTAATCACAACACTGTCGTAATAACTATACTTATCAATTTTTATCTGGTGATTGCCAAGATATGCACGACATTGCTTAGAAATTTCTTATTCAGTCACATAATATTAAAAAATCTGTGACACAAAAGTTACTTCCTCCCATAATTCCGTCTGTGTCTTATCCATCACTTACCAGAGTGTTCGACGCACAGCATAACCTTTTTGGATGCATTGCATAGCCCACAGTCTTTTATGATTTTACTATCAAAAACTTGAAAAGTTTGTTACATCCTTAAGGTGGGTATAATTACAGAATTGGATTAATTATAAAATACACTAACATTATCATACCTAAGTAATCCAAAGAGAAGTCCACAGGACTCAACCAGTGCCATTTCAGTAACCCACTGAAAGCCAAACATTTCCACTACATCATCTTCGTAGTCATTTGGAGAAGGATCTAGTCTCAGCAAAACCCTGTAAAATAGAACCAACAATATTCATACATTCCCCAGTAATAAGTTTATAGAATACAATACCTACAGCTGGCTTATGTACCACTGATATTTTATCAATATATCAGCAACATGTATACTATAGATAGGAAGGAGTAACAGTGCTCTCAAAAAGACAGACTGTCATACCTTTTATAGCAATATGATATACAGTACATAAAATATGATAACTGCTAGCTTCCAGAGCACAAAAACATGATATAGTCACAGGACACAGTATATTTTAGAAACAAATAAAAATTAACAAGCTACCACCCTGAAGCATCTTCATCCTTACAAAGTGGCTGAGCCATAACACACAGACTGTCCTTAACAGAAGAGGCTGCCACGTTAGATAACACATTTGGCTGTAAGTGTATGTTTGGAATCTGTCTCAATGTACACTGCATGCCTAATAACTAATGCTAGAACATACATCCTTTATATACAGTTAATAATATTTATATAGAACACATTGACAAAAGCACATTGATAAAAAGCACACTTTTAGGCAGGTGAACTGATGAGGGTCACAAAATGCAACTTCATTATTATAATTATAACCATATATAACTTTAACACTAGGCCATGACTACCCTTTGCTCTGGCTAAAGAAAAAACGAGTAAAATCAGAATTACCATTTTACTCAAAGTGAAGAAAATCAGACATCTGTATAGATTGTTAGAACATTACTTCTTGGGCAAATATAAAAATATTTCATTAATGTGCTTTCAGAAAAAAAAAAATCACAGCAAGTGGTATAACAACAACAATGTCAAAGCAAATTATTTCAGAACTTTCCTACTGCTTTTCATAAAATACTTCAGTGTAGATGAAGCTGAATTCACTAATATGCAAGAAATATTTCTATTTTAAAAAATAAAAAAAAATGTACTGGGCAAGCACTTGGTTTTCATTATAGTACACACCAAATTCATATTCTTCTTGAACTATGCACTATTACCAATTCAGTTCTCAGAGGCAAAAAGAGCCATCTGCTGAATAACCGGCTCAGTCTCCCATAACGCCTGTAGTTCACTTGGTAACCACCTAAACATTGGTCTGTTTTGAAGCCTTTAGCAATTAAATCCAGTTACTCCTGTTGCAGATAATAAAGACAGAGGAGTCCCTCACATGCAGGTTCTTCCAAGAATTTACAATCCAAGTAGACAACGTGAATAAAATACAGGAGAAGAGTATTATCGTGACTGTAGTGATTTGGGAAACTTGCCTACATACAAGCTCCTGAGTGAGTTTTCACATGAAATTGTTTCTGTCATGAAATGCTTCTTTGTCAGTGTGGAATCCACTACTGATACATTCACACAGACATGGGCTCTCTCAATCCTCTACTTGACATCAATTTGAATTAATGTGCTCTGATCCAACAAAAAAAAAGAAAAAAAACAAAACAACAAACTATAAATAAGGTAGGGAATGGGGGAGGTGCAGTAGAATCCCCTTTAAGGCTTTACAGAAAAGGCTGTGGAAATGAAGCTTAAAAAAATCCCAAAGTAACAACACAAAATATGAGGCTTGGCAGGAGGACAGACAGAAAGATTATACTTGTGTAGGAAAAACAACAAACCTCCACAGGATCAGCAAATGGCACAGAAAATTAAGTTGGATCATAGATAGTAAAGATATTAACTAAATCAAAGTCACATTTTAGATTCTCACAGAAAATACTTACTTGTTATGCATGTGACCACTGAACCTTAAATCCAGAATGCATGCAAAGGTAGAGCTTTGAGAAAGATGGTCTTAAAGCTACAAAGGACAGGCTCAGTGGCCTGGGGAAGCTGGGCACAGCAGGTTTGTTTTTCACATCGAAAAGAGAGAAAGGGCCAGCACTGAATAGAGTGTTGACTGGAAAAAGCAGTGCTGCAGCCTCTTCAGAAATTTAAGGGGTCTCGGATGCTGTCACCCAACAGGCCAGGTTTGAAGTGTCCTAAAGTAAGTTCACAAAGCTAGGAACTGGACCTAGAACGCTGTTCAAAGCAGTGTATCAACACAGTTGCCCTTTCCACTCTGGTATACCATCAAGTTGATCTCAGGATCATTAAGAACTGAAGAACAAACTAATTTGGAAACGCTGTCAGCATTCAGAGGCACCAAACACCAGTGGAAAGAACATCTTAGACGGGTATTATATTTGTAACTCAAAAAACCCCCGTACCTCTTAAGAGACCCACTTGCTAAATAAGACTCTGTAGAGAAGCCTCTCCCTCCATTTTGGTTGTCAAAAGCACAGGAAAAACAAGGCGGCTTTGAGTTCTCATTCTCCACTTCCATTGCCATCTCCAAGCTTTCAGTGAGAAACGGGGGTGTGGAGGAAGCCACAAAGTCATCGTCCATCGTTTCCACCTGATCCAGAAAATAGATAAAAAGACATAGCGTTTCTTCAGATAAATTTCTCATTGTTACAACTCCCTGTAATCCTTTACCTCAAGTGAGAACACAGCTCTGACCAACTGTAACATCAAACAAATGAACAGAGACCACCAAGAAAGGCAATCATGGTCTCATGCCCTGCCACACAAGTCTGCCACTTCATGCAACTTCATCTTCCTTCATCACAACCTGTTCCAGTATTCACATTAGTGACTACAAAACTCAAAAAGGTTCATTTTCTTCTGGTTTAGCTCTCTAAATTGACTAGTCATGAGGTTACACTAGCACTAGGGTAAAATAATAGGCTGGAATGCCTCACAAGGCATGGGTCAGCTACTTTCAGCAACACTTCATTTTGTGACCAGAGTAGCCACGCTATGAAAATACATCATGCATTACAGGCCTCCGGTTGTCCATGACTTCAAGGCAACATTACAGCTCAAGTTCCTTTGAAGAAGCAGCAAATACACCCCACGTGATAATTATGGAACCCTGAAATGTTGAAGTTTTGAAGCTCAGAAAATGACTGCATGGTTGATTCTGACTTCCTTTGAAGAAGCAGCAAATACACCCCATGTGATAATTATGGAACCCTGAAATGCTGAAGTTTTGAAGCTCAGAAGATGACTGCATGGTTGATTCTGATATAGCTAAAGTTGGAAGCTTGTATTAAAAAGATCTGACTTCCCGAGAATCTGAAAAAAAGAGAAACAAAAGGAAAGGAAAAAGAAGATCCTGTGTAAAAGAAGTTCACGTATACTTCACATTAGTGATTTTATATTTTATACAACATATAGAAAGAGTATAACTAGGCAACAGGTGCCACAGCAATATGCAAACAACACAATTAAAACTCTAAATTAAGTTTTCAATTTCATTGCTGACAGTTTTTGATACTGCTCTCGCAGAAGCTAGTATACACAGTGGCTAGAGGTTGGTAATAGAGGCTTGACTGAAAAATTAGCTCAAGGAGAAAAGAAAAAAAAAGAAAAAGAGTTTCTGTCCTACTTTCCCCCATTCATTCACATTCCTGCAGGAGAGTCAGCTGTGCAACTCCTAAGTCAAAGAACGACTTCAGCGCTTGCAGCTCACAGCAGGACCCTACGTATAGGTGTGTTAGCACAGCTGGCAAGGCAGAAATAAGCAGCTAAAGGGAATGCCCTAAATCAGAAGAAGAGCTTCTAGGGAAACTCTGTTCAATTTAGGGTATCAAAGTCGCCCCACACGACAGAAAACACTGGGGAAAAAAAGCACACGAAGGGCAGCTCTTCACGGTCACAACTCACGCCAGTTCTCTACTTGTCT